ACACACACACACACACACACACACACACACACACACACACACACACACACACACCATTTTATAGAGGAACACAAGGCCCAGGTCACAGGGGAGGCAGAATTTAAACCCAGAGCTCTCCCCACTTCCTCCTCTGCTCCCCCTTGCACAGGGCTGATTAGGTCACTAGCACCCCCAGGATCAAGCAGCAGCTCCTGTCTGGTGCTGGCTGCCCTTCACCACCTGCCTCCATGCTGCCTTTCCAGCCCCAGTAGACACCGCTCTCCTTCACGTACCCGAAGGTCTGGCCAAATGGGCCTCCGTGCCACTCCCTGCACAGGACGTGGTGTCTCCTACCTCCGCGCCTTTGCACAGGCCTTGGGGGGTGTCCCTGTTCCCCTCCCCTTCCCTGCCAAGCTCAGCCCAAAGGCCACCTCCTACATGAAGCCTTCCTTGCTCACTCCCTCCTCCCCAGCTGCCTGTGCTCACTCTATATAGATTTGCCTCCCCAAATGGAATGTAACCCCCACCCCAGCACAGTGCTGGACACAGAGGAATCTCATCGGTTGCTCAGTTAAACAGGGAAGGAGGCTCAGTTTCATAGCCTATAAAATGGGGCTGAGGCCACAAGCCCCTCCTGTCCCTGCTTTGTGAGGACCCAAAGAGATAAAGCACAAGCAATGTCACTGTCAGCTGCCCTTCTCCCACCCCTCCCCCCAAGAGTCTGGGACTTCATCAGGACACTCCTTCCCCCAGTGCAGATCGCTCCTCGCAGATGGCCTTTGGGAACTGCTGTGGCTGTGGGGCCCTTGGCTCTGAACAAGGCCGGGCCCCAAGCCCCAGAGCCAGCAGCGGGCCCATCAGGCGGGCCGGCCTGCTGAGGCTGGCACAGAAGCGAGGCGCCAGAGGAGGACCCTGGGCAGGGGCACTACGTGCTGGAGTCGTGACTGGAGCCTTCGGAGCATTCAGAGGCCTCCCCTCTGGGAGATGACCATGAGTGGACCAAGGTCACCCGGTCAACGCAGGGCAGGGCCGAGTCTCCTCCCCAGTGTCCCTGGCCGGCCCGCCCTGGACCCTCACCTTGATCATTTCTATGTGGAAGATGAGGGGCTGGGGGTGCTGCTGTAGCTCATCCAGGTCGGCGTGGCCCAGGGAGCTGTGCTCCTGCATCCGGGCAATGCCACAGCAGTGCCGCTGGCCCTCCAAGGGGTCTTTGCCCGCCGCGATGTTCCGGAGGCTCTTCGATACCAGCGGGTACAGGACCACGTGCTGCAGGACGTCAGAGAGAACAGTTTTAGAGCTGGGAGGGAGCTGAGAACAGGGCATGTCAGGGCCAGGAGGGGCCTCAGAACAGGGGATGTCAGGGCCAGGAGGGGCCTCAGAACAGGGGATGTCAGGGCTGGGGGATCTCAGAACAGGGGATGTCAGGGCTGGGGTTCCTCAAAACAGGGGATGTCGGGGCTGAGGGACCTCAGAACAGGGCATGTCAGGGCCGGGAGGGGCCTCAGAACAGGGGATGTCAGGGCTGGGGGACCTCAGAACAGGTGATGTCAGGGCTGGGAAGGACCTTAGAAAGCCTCCTTTTACAGGCCCAGGGGGGGGGGGGGGGTCACATGCTAGGGTCACAGGGCATTGGCACTGAGCTGGCCTGGTGCGTCCTAGGCCAGGGCTCTCTATCAGATGGGCCTGGGGCCCTTCCCTGTCTGTCTCGTCCCAGGCCTCTCCCGGCTCACGTCCCATTGCTTCCAGCCAGGCCCAGCACCTGGGTGCCGAGGCACGGACACCACTCTCACCTCGGCCCGGGCTGGATGAGCAAAGATCTAACTCTCTCCCAAGCCCCACTGGCTCCAGGGACGGCCCCTGGCTAACTCCCAGCCGCAGGGATCTCTTTGCCCTCCCCAGACTGACTGTTCCCAGACGGCAGGCCAGAGCTCGGCACAGCCAGCAGGTGCTCAACGCATCTCGGCCTCCCCCAACTTCTGACCCGCACAGTTTTACCCTGAATGATACATTTCCAAGGATCCGGGGCTGAAGTGCTGGGAGGGGCCTCTGACTGAAAGCTGGACAGAGAACGTGAGAACCCAGGCTGTCAGAGCAGAGGTCTCTGGAGCCACTGCCCAGTTCCCCAACAGATGGTCAGGTAGGCAACATGGTCTGGAGCACCTTCCCTGGACGAGGTCAGCTGGGGAACAGTGAAGGCAGGTCCCCAGCCCCCCAGACGGAGGCCGCTCCATCCCTCCTGCTATTGGAGGATGCCTGGCCAGGGAAGGAGTGGGCCTAACGTGCCAGGAGGGGGCATGTGTTTTCGCCTGAAAAGGGGGAAGGAAGGAAGGCGGGAGGGGCAGCTAAAAGAGCTAGCGGATCAGCACATCCAGAGGCCTGACCACCCCAGGCTTGGAATGGGGGCTCCTCTCTGGGCACCGGTTACAGGGAAAGATCCCGAAAAAGGCCAGTTAAGGGACCTGGAGGAGGCTCTGTGCCCTCAGGGCGGGCATCCCCCCTGGCTCTTCCTGACCCGAGGGCACACCCGGGTGGTGGGGCAGGGGTCACAATAGGCCACATTTAGGTTCCTATGAGGAAGAAACTTCCCCATGACGACCCAGGTCCCCACGTGGCTGTCGGGAGAGGCTTCAGGAAAAGGCTGGCGGCCCACTGGTCAGGGGCTCTCCAGAGGGGATTTCCGTTCAGACCCCAGCTGGGCACTGGGATTCTGCGATAAGCTCCTAGCGCAGGGGCCATGCTTTCGGCTCCAGCCTCCTCCTCGACGCCCAGACTTCAGCCGGCTCCACGAAAAGCTGACGGCGAGGTTCCGGTCCATTCGTCCGGGCACCTACTCTGGCCAGGTCTGGTGCCCCCCCCCCCCCCAGCCCCAAGGGGGAGGGGGCCTCACCTTGACGTCACAGAGGAACTCGGCCACCTCGGCCGGGCGCATGGTGCGCACGATCGTCTCCCACACCGGCAGCTTGAAGTGCTTGCCCAGGATGAGCTCCATGGGCTTCCCCCGCTGGCGGCTGTCATCGATGACCGCTCCCTCCTCGTCGCTGCGCAGGGTCCGGAAATGGAAGGTGGCCTGGGGGGCCAGCCCGTCAGGACCGCCTGCAGACCCCCGCCCTGAGAGCCAGGGGGTCCCCACGGGGAGGGCGCGCAGAGCTCCGTCCGAAGACCGTCCAGCCAGCGCGGACAGTGCCCCCGGCCCCTCCTGGGGCCGCAAGAACCCGCTCCCCACGGCAGGCCTGGGCCCCGGGGCCAGGGAAGTGGGCCAGCAGAGCCGGGAGGGGCTGAACGGACCCCCGGGAGGGGGACGGAGAGCAATACAACGTTCCCATTGCGCTTTAACCTCGTGGGAGCGTCACCCCCCCCGGCCCTGTGCAGAAGGTGCCCTTATTATTCCCATTTTATGGACTAGGACACTGAGGCTCAGCTGGCCCAGGCGTCCCCCCCACCCTGGGGACCGCGACCAGGGACACACAGCAAGTCCCAGAGTCAGGGCGGAGCCTCGCACAGGGGCGGGGCCTCCTGCCCAGCCGCAAGGCGGCGCCGCGGGGCAAAGGATTGGCAACACCCGGGACCACTGGGGCAGGGCTTGAAGACCGGGGGCGGAGCCGACACGCCCGGACCCGCCCTCAAAGCAAACGCTGGCCAATCAGGACGAGAAAGCACGTGAGTGCTGGGTCGCGGGCCAACGGGGGGCCCCGACGCTGCGCAGCCGCCCGCTCCAGGGCCTCCCCCCCCCCGTCCCGCTCGCGTAGCGGGCCCGCGCGGCGGCGGCGGCGGCGAGCGGAGCCGTACCTTGGTCCCGTCCCGGAAGTCGGGCAGCTCCCCGGTGCCCTCCTGTACAACCCGCTTCTCGATGCCCTCCGCCCGCAGCTTCTTAACCGAGTCCGCCATCCTGCTTCCCCCGATGCCCTCCTCTCGGAAGCTTCCGGACAATCTCGGCAACTTCCGGAAACACTTCGTTTTGACAGCTTCCGGAACCGCAGTTTCGGCAACTTCCGGCGGCGGTGGCGCCATCTTTACTGAGGGCAGAAGCCGGCGAGGGTGGCGGCACATGCGCAGATGGAGCCCTCCTACGCCCTGCTAGTTCTCGAGTTCTCTGGGGCCGAGGGGCGGGGCAGTAACTCTGGCGTTCACTGAACCTTAAAGCAAGAGGCCTTTCGGTCTAGCCCGACTTGTGTTGGAACCATGAGCTCCCACCCTTCCTGCAGCGTATCAGACAAGTGGGCATCTCGCCCTTTGCTCGAAGACGTCTGGTGATGGGGAACTCACTACCTGTCTTACGGGTGGCTCAGGTTATTGGGAAGTGATTCTGTGCATCAAGCTGAAGTCTTCCTCTCAGCAGCTCGCCCCACAATTTTTCTGGTTCTGATCCTGGTATCAAGCAGAATAATAAGGCAGTGTGCTGCAATGGGAAGAGCACTGTGTCTGGAGTCAGAGGACCCGAGTTCAAATCCCCGCTCTGCACCTGCCGACCTGTGTGAACTTGAGCAAGTCACTTAACCTATTGTGCATCAGTTTCCTCATCTGAAAATGGCAGGGGAAGGGGGGTTTGCTGGACCCTTTCCGTCGACATTTAGAATTCTCCAAGCCCAAAGGCAAATGACAGCCCCTCAGTTACTGGCAGACAGTGGCGCCCGCTCAGTCTTCTCCAGGCCTGGCTTTGGCGTCAGGAGAGACTCAAACCCTGCCCTGCCTACCCACCAACGGGGGGATCCAGGCACAGGGTCTGGTGCTTTGTGTGTAGACATCCAAGTCATGGCCCCAGAAGAGATAATGATAGTGAAAAAGGCTTGGAATTTTGTGAGAATGACACAGTGGGAGTGCGCGCAGCTGGCCATGGTGCTGATGGACGCTTAATGCAAACCTCTAATCGAGGTTTGGCCCCAATAAGCGATTCTAATCTAATCTAATCTAATAATAATTGATTCTAATCTAATCTGAACAACAAAACATTGGGGTTTTTTTTAAGACACAATACTATTGCACACTTAATAGCCTACAGTATAGTGTAAACATGACATTTACATGCACTGGAAAACCAAAAAATTCATGTGACTTGCTTTACTGCAATATTTGCTTTATTGCAGTGGTCTGGAACGGAGCCTACATTTGATCTTCCCAATGACACTTAGAGGTAGGTGCTGTTGTTATTTCCATTTTACAGTTGAAGAAACTGAGGCACAAAGAGCTTCAGTGACTTGCCCAGGGTCACGCAGCTAGTGAGCTTCCGATGTATTGAAACTCAGGTCTTCCTGACTCCAGGCCCTGCACTCTGTGCACTGTGGCACCCTCTAGTGGCCTCAGGGAACACACTGGCCAGGACTCTGGAGCGAGCATTAGGAAGACAGCGGCCCACAGGATTACCCTTAGAATACCATCTGGGGACTTGGTCTTGCCAGTGCCAATGCAAGTTGTGGGGGTGGGGCATGACACGAGCCAATCAGGGATCCGGAAGGGTTTTCAGCAGGAAGCAGAACTTGAGCAGAGCCTTGGAGGACAGAGATTCTAAGAGGCAGAGGTCAGGAGGGAGCATTCCGGCCCAAAGGGACAGAGAGGAACATGGGGAGAGCAGCAAAGTGTGGCTGGAAGTAGGGTGTGTGAAGGAAGAGAATGGGAACAAACCCGGAGAGGGGGCATAATCTATAAGATTTGGCCACTGATTGGATTTGTGGAGTCAGGGAAATTGAGAAGCTGGTACCGACTCTGAAGTTGCCTCGGTTGGGTGAAGGATGAGAGAGAGGAGAGGAGTGAGAGGAGACAGAGAGAGAAAAGAGAGGAGAGAGAAAGGGAGGAAGGGAGAGAGGAAGAGAGAGAGAAAAGGGGAAAGAGGGGGAGAGAGAGGAGTGAGAGGAGACAGAGAAAAGAGGAGAGAGAGAGGGAGGAAGGGAGGGAGGGAGAGAAAAGAGGAAAGAGGTAGAGGAGAGAGAGAGGAGAG